ATAGACCTTAAAACCCTGAACAATGCATAATCCGTTAAATTAAGAATTCAATTCTTTAGTTTTTTTGAACTATAGAGCTACATTTATGTTCTGAGACAACTAATACGGGAACAACTGGAACAATCAGGGTGTATCACGCGATGGGAGCGGCACGCGTCCGGCACTCCCACGGCACGCGTAGGGGTGAACGCTGCCTACGCCCTTTGTCTAATCACCAAGCATTAGGAGTTCAAAACTATATCGAACAGCAATTAACAAATGGGAACCTGAAATAGATAACAAAAAACTAATATAAAAAGTGGACATGCCTGACAAAGTAGAGATAGACATCAGCATCATCTTGTACATTACGAAACGCAAAAATCATAATCTGTAGGCGATGAGTTTTAATCGGCACTAGCACAAAAATGCAATATCAAGGAAAACAGCATAAAGGTTTATAATTTATACGATAACAGATTATTCACTGGGCAATTTATTTAGCGATCTGAAATGTAAATAAATATGTGTCCGTGGTTCAATAGGTACTTGCATCTACGTGGAGTTGTGTGGTAGTTCAATTTTTAGGGCACATATTTGTGGACGTGTGGGTGGTCGAGCTCACGCCCCACCTGGTGCTAAGTGGTTAGCGGAGCCCATAGACATTAACAACGTAAATGCCACCACCCACCTTGAGACATGAGTTTTAAGTCTCAGTTTTATAATACAACAGCTGCTCCACCCTTCCAACTGAAACGCATTAGTGCTTCACGACAGAAATAGGTAGGCCGGTGGTACCTACCTAACACAATCGCATCACTCGATACAAATGTACCAGGGGTCTTGTCCTTTACACCACGACTTCTATCGCGATGTATTCTAAAACCCAGGCGTGATATCAATACAGGTGAGACTTCAATCGTATGAGAGACGTAAGCTCGTGGGTCCTTCCTTCACGGAAATAAATTAAAAAACCAGACAAATAAAACTGTAAAACTATCAATTTCTTTCTAAAAGACAAAAGTGTTTGTATTTGACTAAATTTAAAACTTTAACAGTTTGTAAGTGCAGGAAACACAGCAATAAATTTCAAACTAATTTCACACTTCAACATTACAAAGATAAAAGATTTCATTACACCTGCACGAACAAAGAATCAGCACCAAAGTTTTTGTTCCGTGACTTGTAAAAACACTTCGCCGATTGTCAATTTTCAATATAGCTCGTACGATTTTTTAGGGTTCCTTTATTATTATTATTTTCTAATTATTTTTTTGCATTGATGATTGAACGCGGTCACAACCCAATTATGTTAAATGATCGCCGGAGCCCGTAGACATCACAACGAGAGCGCGAAATTAGTCAGAAGAACTCATAGATCGGCACATCACTACGTGGATGGAATCACACGCATCGGTACAAGAGGTCTATGTCGAATTAGACTTTTTTTTATCCTACCTAAGCTGATAGCCTTGAGGGGCTATTTTAGCGTAACCTTAACTAGTAGGTGAGCTCTCGGGGCTCAAACCTGACGACGTTGCTAACACGAACCCTAGCAAGAGCCGTGGTTCGCAGAATCTACCACCGGATCGGAAACGCGACCCACTCAGAAGATCCAGCGAGAAACTCAGTGGGCTCTGTCTGTGGGGAATTAGACTGCACGATGCAAGTCTGCGCGGAAAAAAACATTCGTGGAATCTTCTTAGTGAGTCTTTATTTTCCTTTTAGCATTGTCAACAAGCTTGCATAAAGTACTTTGAACAATGATCTGTAATGATTCCGGCATTTCCGTTTTACCATCGCACCACTCACCACTAGACTGAACTTAGAAACTACTCCTATTATATATATCTGGTACGTTCATCCACATAAAAAAATGTTTGCTACTATACTTGGATTTGGAATGAACGGAGTTGACGGTGTTTCCTAGGTGTCTCTTATATGCCTATCTTCATACGAGATTTTGAAAAGAGTTTTAAGCAGTTGAGCTATCTTATTGAAATTGCTAATATTAATCAATATTGATGACCACTAAACATAATGTGGACTGTAAACTCGGCAGTCTACAAATTCATTTAAAAAAATGTACATTTTTCTACTGAACCAAATAAAAATAAAACCTCTTTTCATTCGTACTGTCCATAATATGTACCTACCTGTCTATTTAAAACAATATCCTGTCAATTGCACTGCAGGTGCTTTTGATGCAAACCCAGACTGGACAACAAAGATGGACGTGAGTGGACAATAGGTTGGCTGTTGATTGTAAATTTAATATCTCAGGTAGACGCGAAGACACGTTTTGACACCTAAAATTGAGTTATTACTGATGAAACCATTCTTTTGTAAGGTAAATGTTCGGTACTTAGAGGTTAAAACATTGTTCATCTACAACTCGGAATTTATGTATTTTTCGACTTATTTTGTAGATATAATATACGTGCATAAACAAACATTCAAATATAACCCTAAAAGAGATATCAATGAAATTAAATCAATTTCGAAATAAAAATAAAATAAAAACGAATATATATTTCTTTCGCGTGATAACGTACGATATTCCTTTTAAACTTACAACCAATAATTTATGACGGCTTAGTTAAGGCAAAAAAATCTGCATTCTTTTATTTTAAATTGGTAAATTTCATTCCTTTTTACTTCTACTATATTACAATCCATCCTAGCTCAGTTGAAGATCCGGACTAGACTCTCCACCATTTGCATGCGAAGGATTCTTGAATACTTTGGCCACATCGCAAGGAAAGACAGTGACAACTTAGAGAAATTGATGGTCACTGGAAAAGTCGAGGGCAAGCGACCAAGAGGCAGGAACCCGACCCGTTGGACGGACCAGATTCGTGCAGCCCTGGATACCACAGTGCACGATGCTCTGCACTCAGCTGCAGATAGGAACAGATGGCGGTGCAGTATAAAAAACAATCTGTTTCAAGGCCATGACCACGACCCTCAGTAATGAGGAAACCGACGCAAGGAGAAGGATATTACAATCTTAAAATACCTAACAATAATCTTAATTCTTCTCTGGAAATATTTTTCATTCAAGGCCGCTATTAGAAACTTATTTTAACTCTAACTAGCGATGACATGAACGAAAACTCACAACGACTTTCATTCACGAATGCGAATAGCATTGTTTAAAAATATGTATAGACAAATCAACAAAAAATTACTTTAATTAACAACAAAATATTCCGTATATATTTTCTACAATAACGGAATTTATAATCGAATAATGACTCTCAAAACCACACATCGAATCACATCACCGTCTGTTACCATTAAATTACGTTATTTGGACCAATTTATCAGAACACATTATCCAGCATTAAGGACGTGCTCACAGAAAAAATAACACGCTTTTTATAAAGCTGCGTCATACAGACAAAATGTAAAGATCGATTCAGAATTTTGTATTTGACTTTCATTACTTATATTATCGGAGTCGGAGTTTCAATTCTATTGTATAGCTGTCCCACCCTTTAAACCTGAGCGCATGGTTCTTTGCGGCAAAAATAGGTAGCATCTTTTTATTGGCCTTGTTCTCCAAATTATGTTACGTCACTCATGCACGTCAGAAACGCCAAGGACAGAGCCAAGCCGCTGCCTTCCAAAAATCTGATCTGACCAGTAATACCATTTTTTGTATAAAAAATACATACTATACAAATTGAATTATATAGATTATGTATTACATTCAAACCAGTGAAAATATTATATTCATCTCTGATCGTGATACACCTATAAATAAGCAGTATCATGGTGTAAACACTTCTTAATCTCAAGTCGCATAAGTCAAAATGAAGCAATTCACTACCTGAGTTCTTTACTCCCGCCTCCAAGGTGACTCGGGACTTTTTGCTGGCCCCGACTTTTTATACTCACCGTTTTATTATTACGATACGAGCCTCCGTGTGGTCACCGATTTGGAACTGACTAAAAATTTAGATGACTAATACGATTTAAAGAATACCATCGCATGAGAGTTTGTTTCGGGTATACCATAGGAAGATTAATATGTTTATAGTTCACAACAAGTTTACTGAGATATCTTCCATACTTACCAGTCTGTAAAACAGTTATATGTACATTGTAAATGATTAGCAGTCTGTAAAAAGGTTATTATATTTATATTGTAAATGATTAGAACATAAATAAAACAGGGCTTTGTCCTTGTCGTTTTGTATTTCATGTTAGTTACACAACATTTAATTGAAATTGATGAATAATTGGTCGTTTTCGTGGCACCAGAGAGGTCGCTAATTTCACACAAATCACCGAAAAACTTACCGGAGTCAAACAATAAGGCTTTGACGCAGGCTCCGTGTGAGCGCGACAAGTGGATGCCTTCACGTACTTCCATTGTTCGAAGACCTCTCTCCGCTCACCGCCGGCTCACCTGCGACCACCCCCGCTAATACCCTTCCGTAGACTGATATTTTGAAAAAACTTTCATTTTGGAATTCCGACTATTTGAAAAAAGCGACCTAATTGTTGTTTATCTTTTGTACTCTCCTGTTGCTTCTATGATTTTACCACAAAAAAATAACGTTGATCGTGATTTAAAATTTAGTAAAATTATACATTATTATGCACATACATAGTATGTTCAATAAACTACCTCTATGTCGACGTAGTTATTAAAATGCTTTGTGATTTATTATGATTGACAATTTTTACTATATTTTCCTATATTACTCATATAATGTAACCACAAGAGAAGTGTGCTTTTATGACATAAATAATACAATGTAATTTTACTGTAAAAATCATATAAATAGTGTATTCAGTAATAAACAATAAGTTGGATGGGACAAAGTGCATGTCAGGAGCGCAACGGCCTTAGTCAGGGCCGCCCTGCGCAGGCAGACGCGGCGCCCGTAATCTGCCGCCATGGGAAAAATCAGGCTTCGGCGCCCCCGCCCCGCGCGCCCATTGGAGCAAGCGGCCCCGCCCCGCGCCCCACCAACCTACATAAATACTACAGCGGAACGAGCATCTCCTCATTCCTCGCTCAGTACTCGTGCGATTAACACGTATCGCGTTGCGACTCTACATTTTTACCCAGTGTTCGTGTTCAGTGACTCAAGATGAAAGCGATAACAGCAGTGTGCGCGACCGGCGCCTCGGTCCCCGCGATCGCGAGCGGTCGAGTGCAGCGACACCGGGATGGCGAAAACGCTGAGATACAAATGTACCTCTCGAAGCTCCAGGATCTCGTACCCTTCATGCCCAAGAATAGAAAGATCTCCAAATTAGAAGTGATTCAGCATGTTATAGACTATATCTGCGACCTTCAATCAGCGTTGGAGAATCACCCAGCTGTTGGACAATTTGACGCTGAAGGCGCCTTAGCGTCGCCACCTTGCGCAGCGTCGCCGCAGCCCCGCCCTCAGAGGAGACCGCTAGGCCCTCGCCCTACGCCCAACACCATCCTCCGCAAATCACCCTCCACACACGAACACAGAAATCAAACGGTGAGTTCTTTATAAGATACATCATTCAACAACTATTCACTCTACAAAAATTCTATTTCAAACTTCATTGAAAATGAACAAGTTTAATGTATCGTTACAATTCGTTTTAATACTTAAAATGTAGAGCTACCGACAAATATTATCCTATCCTATCCTCAAAATGTACCCGATATAACATTAATAATAATAAGAATTGAGACTGTAACAGTTTCAATCATTGTAAATCACAATCTCTAGCACAATCACAGCCAGCAAGCCGTGAGAGACAGTATTGCATAAAAAAATAAATGAAATCGGCCGTGTCTGTGTTTTGCGCACACCTGCGCGTTTCGCAAGCGCGGGAAGTAAAAGTAGAGATGAGTTTCACAACGACACAAGCCACAGACTCAAACGATTATGTATTATAATCTAATTTCAATATTAAACAGCATACATTTCAGTAGAATTCTAATGAGGATTGAATGTAATTTACAACGGACAACAACATTTCTCGTGACGTAGAAAATTATGGAAATTGGTTAAAGCCAATATAAATACTAAAAGTATGCATCGATGGAACTATAATTGTTTTGTTTGTGTCTATTTCACCAATACATGCCCATTAAACTGTGCAATTACTGCACTTGATAAGTTTGTTAAACGATGAACGTTTCGTGGTTTCTGTATGACTATGATCGTTCGAGCGGAGAGGCAAATCATAGTCGGAATAGCTCTAACAACTAGTGTCAGTGTTAGTCGCTGTTCACGCATGCGTGACTGCTGTTTTGAATTTCAGCCTTGAAGCGCGGACACCTGCGCCGGCGCCGCGTAAACGACCATGTACTGACACACTATTTGAATATTCAACACATATTTATATTGACTCGTTTAGCATTCCGACTGACACCTGTGTGCGATTGTCGTTTCGCAACGTGAAGAACAACGCAGAACTCCAAGCGCATTAAACGTCATCACCGATGATTTTGATCCATTAACGGTGCTTTTAGGCACCACAAGCACCGGTCACCGTGCGAATTAACCCAAAGACACAGCCCACTGAGTTTCTCGTCGGATCTTCTCAGTGAATCGCGTTTCCGATCCGGTGGTAGATTCAGCACTGCTCTTACTAGGGTCAGTGTTAGCAATACTCCGGTTTGAGCCCCGTGAGCTCACCTACACGCGTTAGAGTGAAGCTGAAATAACCTCAGAAAAAAACCCGATGATTGTTTAGGAAAAGCGCTTTACTGTTTTGTGGAAGATCGCTCGAGATGCGTACAGCAGGTGCATCCCTCGGGATTTATTTGAAGTTGTAGAGCAATGCGCGCTCGTTAATACTTGGTCGCGCCACGTAAATTTTCATCACTGCCAGTGTGTTGGAACCGAGGAAAATGTTTAAAACCAACGTGATTTAGGTGACGCAAGCTGCTACGTTAAATTTACAGTAACAAAAGTACCGTGATATTGCGACACGTACATGTTCCTTCTTCCTCCTTAATATAAAATTATGTTCTACTTTATTTAATGTTATGTTCAATGACTAAAATGCCATATCACAAAATTTGACGTCAGAACTATACTTTGAACAAAAGTGCCCAAAAACAACAAAAGTAATTCGAGAATGTAACGTCTGATGCTCTCAACTATGTGTGCAAAAGCGTTACCCATGTTCTTTGTTAACCAATAACATAATAGAAACAACAAACAACTCTTAAATTGGCCTCGGGCGCCGGCGATATCGTGAAACCCATCGATATTTACGAATTTACCTTACCGCTTACTACATTGGAATGTCGACTAATCGGGCCGCATTCCTGAATAACAAATGTTGAGTATTCGTTCACGCAAGGACATCGGACGTGGATTTCTCGATCATCGTTTTCTATCTCACGAGCGAGATTCGGCCGACCGGTTGTGACTAGGAAAAAACGAGGCTCGGAGGCGATCGTGTCGGAATTCAAATCTCCATCGTGCGCGTCGTGAGGCGGCATTTCACGAAGGTATCTGTCGGGGCATCGGGCGCCGGTCACGACCATACACCACAGCTCCTATCGCGTACGTAATTATTGCCGCAGCTGTACCGCCTCGGGCTTTGTCCAATCCGTACTGTCGGTCATTACTTAGTTTTCTCATTATTCTCTCTCAAATTTTGAAATATCGAACGTGATGAATAATGATAAAATCCATCTATATTTTCTGCAGCAACGTTTGACTTTCTAATCTTACCGTAATAAGCTATTAAGTATGATGCTTAATGAGTGATATGCTTGTAAGCCATGACGCCCCTGTTTTATTACAAACAAAGGGCCTTCAACCCCTACCATGACCGCGATCCGTGCAATGTAATTTACATTAATCAGTATCGATGAAAGTATTGTCATTCGCTGTCGCATTCGTATATTTTTACTTATTGTCTGTCTATTGGTATGTCAATATTACTTAACGATCCAATTGCTGACCCGCATCTCTTAGATATCAATTTAGAAGCCCTTACAAAAACTGACACAAGATCCGTCAATTTCAATTACAGACCGAATCTTTACGTTTAAAAACGGAATGAAATATATTTCACAACATATGGTGAATCGGATTTGGTATATCTGATATTAGCAATCAGTGCAGGCGTACTTACGCCTACGCATCGCGTCCGTCCGCCGAGCGACACTAACGAGCAGCCAGGTGTCCGCGCCCACGCTTTCCCGCTCCTCGGAATATCTTTGTCTCCTCGACTCGCGCCTCGCACATAAATCGCGTCTGTGAAAGTTTACGAGTACCTTCATGTTTCCCCGAAGTAATAAACCGCAGAGCGAACACTGATAGCGGACAATGCAACTCCACCACACAACTCCAATGTCTCGGCGAAGCTCTGCACACGTGCAACGATTTCGCCGGCCGTTCAGATTCCATTGCGATGGATCGATCGAGGGCATTGTGCTGCTAACGGTCGCTCGCAGCTGCGTGTGAACACACGTGACGGCGCCGGTGGCCGGATAGCTAAATAAATGCGACGAACACTGAACATACCTATTCATTATTCTACAAATAATGCTCATCACATAATGGGATTTCACGTGCGGGCTCTCGCGAAGTCCCGATACGTTTGGGACATGTGTGCTCTCCCTTTGGTATGTATCCGTAAATAGGGTGTAGCCACGTGCGGCCGCTCAGCTGCGATGCGGATGTACGCGGACGGGAAGCGGTAATCCAACACTTTGCCACTCTGAAACTAACATCGAAATTGCCACTGCCAATCGTTATAACCAGACAACGAAATCGTTCACCTTTCCTATGTCGTTATTGACATGCCAGACCCTAAAATACGATCTCAATCGGGGAGGCCAAAAAGTCCTATTGTTTGGTCACTAATAAATTAAAACAATGTCGAAACACGGCGCATATGTGATGACAGATGGCCGGACGCGGACGGGATGTGCATGTATGTGTACAATCGGTACTATTTGACGCAATCACTTAATATGAAAAACAAGGGCGGATTAACCAGAAGCAATAAATGAAAATTGCCTACCTAATACTAAACCAGCTATTCCTAAATATCAGTTGTAATTCAATCACAAAATCCGTCAAAAATTTTTGTAGGAATCTTTCCAAAAAATGGTAGCTCTACATTCCAGGAGGAATCTTAATATTCGTATATCTTAGGATACTTATTTATGTAAAAAAAAAACTTACCTCCTATTTTCAACTGTCTTAATATTATTTTTCATTTGTTACAGGCACCAGAAAAACAAAACCAACCTGACAGGCCGTCGTGTTAAATGCAACCTAGGTTAAGACTTATTTATGGTTAATATTAATAAATATACCTCGAAGCGGCCAGCGTTGCCATGGGAGGCTCCAGACGCTTGGGAGAACAGAAGCCTCCGAACTTCAGTTCCAGTGAAGATCATCTTTCGATGATATCCTATGTACGATCTCGTTACGATCAATATATGTACTTCTATAAATAATTATCATTTTGTGGCATTACACAGTGAAGACTTGAGCATCGCAATGCAATGACCGTCAGTCGCTGATTTCGACACGGGTTGTTTTGTTATGATTTGTGTAAAAGCTTTACTAGGTAGTTCGTAGTCTATCTATGTAAATTATCATATTATTATTGTAAATAAAGAAATAGTGATTTTGTAAAAACATAATGATTCTATTCTTAAATATATTTTAGAACAACACAATGTAAAAAAAAAAACAGAACTTTTCTGATCAATTAAACTTAGGTTTTTAGTTAAAAACGGATCTTCCATTAATATCAAAGATGTGAACCGATTTTAAGTTGGTTTACGTATATTAATTTTATTATTTAAAAAGATATAATTTGAGTGTGATTTTGCGTGGCAATTTGTTGCTATTAGTAAATACGATATATTATTTGTATGTAAGTGCTCAACGCGGAATTATTTTTGTTAAATTATGATTTGCGTTAGCACCACTAGTATATGTAAATATTGTAAGTGAAGACGAATACGAAGAATNCGATTTTAAGTTGGTTTACGTATATTAATTTTATTATTTAAAAAGATATAATTTGAGTGTGATTTTGCGTGGCAATTTGTTGCTATTAGTAAATACGATATATTATTTGTATGTAAGTGCTCAACGCGGAATTATTTTTGTTAAATTATGATTTGCGTTAGCACCACTAGTATATGTAAATATTGTAAGTGAAGACGAATACGAAGAATTAGCAAAAAAAAAAGATGATTCGGAAACTATTGTGGTTTATTTGAGTCTAAGGTGGAAATGCTTTAATTAAACCTACTGTATACTTGTGGTGTATTATAATTTAAATAGACTGTTATAATTTTAGTTGATGCGTTAATAATGTTCGGAATATGTATTGTTATATTGTGGGGTAATTAGTGGTGCACATGTACAAACTCCTCAAGCAACTAGTTTCACACACGATTTTTGTCACAAATTACATGAAACTGACGTACTGTAATTTCACTAAGTTTAATAATCCTTGTTACTAATTAGTTTTTTTTTGTCAATTATATTATGCACTGATTTTTTAATAGGTACCGATAAAACAGAAAATAAACATGTCTAAAAATACTTTGCATATTTATTTCCGAATCCCTCATTTTAATGATATTTGCATTCGATTACATATCCAACCATGATCTTAAATATATGAATGGCCTAAAGAAAAAATTATGACTTTGATTATTGAGTACAAAATATGCGTAAATTAGTATCCAGATTAAAGAGCTTTTAATTTCAGAATATCTACAATTTGCTCAGAATGAGATATGCCTAACTAATATTATATGGTCTAATAAGCTTTGACTAACTAAAAAGTTTAAAACAATAATAATAATGACTTTCATCAATAACCTAGATACATAGCGTTTGTCTCCTAAAAAATAAAGTTTATCTTGATCAAGTCACGGGCACGCCAATGGCACGTGATAACTCCACCACCAAAACTATTCAACAATGTAGTCTTCATAACATACAATTGTTTCATGTATGATAAAGTGGAAGATTTTATTTAAATAATACAATTATTTCTGAGGAATGAAACAGACTTGAAAATATTTGTTCGTTTATCGTTCAACAATTGTTCTTGGTTATTTTTCATCAATCAACACGGATGCGAATGATCACGCGATTGCATCACGGCCAATTATCGCAACTACAATATTTGATCAGCTGTGTTGGCGCTGGCTTATAAACTACACACACAAAAAGAGACTATATTTTTAAAGCAGCTAGAGCGATATGGTGGTGGCAAATGTAAGTGAATCAGATCAACCTAATATAAGCCGTAAGTCAAAAGTACTAAAGTCGAAATTAATAGTTTCGTAAACAACTGGTAAACGAGGGCGAATGTTTGTTCAATAAATATTAACAGAATGCCGTCATTGCTATACACAATACACCTAATTACAAAAGTTAAGTAAATGTGAATAAAACAAAGGGCAAAAAGAATTTTAGCGACCCTGCCAGGATTCGAACCTGGAATCTTCTGATCCGTAGTCAGACGCGTTATCCGTTGCGCCACAGGGCCCATAACAACAGCAATTGAAATACGTTATTGGTCTGCAAAAAGAATGTTCTTTTTAAGTATACTTTTAATTGAATACGTTATATTTAGAAATTCAAAAACGTCTTTAACCATATATTTTGAAATTATGCGATTTTACAATAATCGTATTAAAGTTAATTAATGAGTAAATCCGAGATTTCCGTTTGCGCTATTTGCGTACGGAACCCATAAAAAAAGCTTTTGAGAACACGTAATTGCTAGGGTCAGTGTTAGAAACACTCCGGTTTGAGCCCCGTGAGCTCACCTACTAGTTAAGGTTACGCTGATATAGCCTCACAAGGCTATCAGCTTAGGTAGGAAAAAAAATGCAATCAAACGAATCTATGTACTAATTGTGTTTAGATAGAACCGATCGCTCGCATATATTCTTCAGTGCCACGTACTTATTAAGCAAAAAGTTGATTCGTAAATAAATACGCTTGCACTTAATGATCGAAGGTCGTGTACCGGTGCGGGCACACCTGCATAATCGTGTTAGCCATTATCGAACACTGATAACGTTATCGCATTACCGAACGTAACCACTTACGGTATTCGATTGTTTCGTGTTTGACAATTTCGTTTTAGTGCCGCTGCCACGCAATGACAAATCATTATGTATACTAGTGGTCCCGCAGTATTCGAAATTCGACTATAATTAATTGAAATAATAAGTTATCGAAATAATACATTATTATGCTTCTATTGTCAACGACTATTAATTATACTTCTATAATCACAGATTTCGCCAAAACTACACTATAGACAAATAATATTAAAGACAAACAATATTAACCTATTCTCCATATGACCACAGACTTTAAGCAATAACAAAAGTTTGACAGTAAACAAAGAATTTATAAACGCGTGTGTGTCAAATACATGGTAGTGTGTATAATGTTTTTTTATTGATTTAATAAACTTTTTATCCATAATTTAAAAAAAAATTATCATTCTGTACTCCTTCTCTATATTCTCTATAAGTGTGGGAAATTTCATACTCCTCCGTCCGCACAATTTTCGTAAAAAGGGATACAAATTTTGAGCTTCACGTATTAATATATAGATATATAAAACTACAGTGGTTTGTACGGATGTTCCGTTATAGCTAATGACATCCGATTGACTTGAAACTTGGTGTCCTATGTAGAAAATACACGCACTTAATGGATAGGCTAATATTTATATGAGTGTTGGACTGCCTAATAATAATGAAAATAAATAATAATGTTAATTTTAAATGCCCAGCGAAGCGGGCAAGTACGGCTAGTCTTTTTATAAATACTAGTGGTCCCACAGTAGTCAAAATACGACTATAATTAATTGAAAATTCATTTATAAACATTATTATGGTTCTATTGTCAAACACTATTAGACTTCTTTAATATAATCACAGATTTCGCCAAGACTACACTTTAGACAAATATGAATAAAGACAAACAATTTTTAATCTAGTCTCAATTTGACCACAGACTATAAGCAATAAGAAAAGTTTGATACTAAGCAAATAGTATGCACGCGTGTGTGTATCAAATACATGGTAGTGGGTGTAATGTCTTTTTTATTAATTTAATGTATTTTTTATGCTTAATTTAAATGAATATTAACTTTCTGCACTCCTTCTCTATATTCTCTGTAAGTGTGGGAAATTTCATATTCCTCCGTCAGCGCAATTTTCGTAAAAATGGGTACAAAGTTTTGCTTCGCGTATTATTAATATAAAAACAATATTATAAAATATAGTATAGTACATATATAATATAGTAGCCTCATCATTCAAGGTAGGTGACAGTAAGCACCTGTAACTATGTATTTATTGTTAACTCCAAATAGGCCGTGTACCTACTAGTCAGATCGGCTCTGTATGTTTTAAGCTATTGTTTTAAATTTAAATTTTTCGAGTAATTTTGTTTTCTGTTTTTTTATTATAGCACTCTGCTAAACTCTGGATGAGTAAGGTAGGTATTAGAAAAAGAAGGAAGAGATTGATAAAGATTTTTATTTTAGGTATATTTTTTATTAGCAATCCGAAAAAATCATTTAAGAAAACATACGAAGAAAAATTAGTGGGGTTTTGTTCCAGAATAGGTGAGATACTTATAGCGAAATTAAGTATAAAAGGTGTAGAACATTTCAGAATATGATATAAATTAAAGAAAGAAAAATAAACTTATATAATTTGCACACTATTGATAATACAAAGTATAACAAGTAAAAGTTTATATTATAAAACATCACTCATAATATACCTAAGTAAAGTATGTAAATGATGATCTATATGTCGAGCGGTCAAACTGCTAGAAACATGCACAGGGAAGAGGCAAAACGACACTGGCTTTATCGCTAAGAAATGAAAACACAAAGCTCGCCAAAGTATATAGGTGTATTAGACTTATGAAGAACGGAGGAATAAGTGAAATAAAGGTATAAAAGAAAAAGAATAGGGCAATCTGAATGTCATCGAAATCGAACACACGGTCATAATTTTATACAATTTTATGTTGATATATATATATATTGTTTTGTGTAATTTCCAACCTACTGTCTTCAATTCACAGATGGTCTAATTGATAGAAAAATTAAAAATAGTATTGTTCACATCGTTGATATCCCGAAGCAAAGATCATATTTATTAATTCGAATGTCCGCGACGATGAAATGAGAGCCTTAAAATACGAATAGATGAATACGACCTTAGCTTACGTTTTAAATAAATGAGATATCAGTCAAAGATGTGATGTGTGTGTGTGAATGCGTATTTGTGTTTTTTTTCGTTGGAGACAGACCAGAGCCTTTGGTAAACTTGGTGTTTTTTTATTTTATTTTTATTGCTTAGATGGGTGGACGAGCTCACAGCCCACCTGGTGTTAAGTGGTTACTGGAGCCCATGGACATCTACAACGTAAATGCGCCACCCACCTTGGTACATAGCTATCATCACTCTGACGAAATGACGCTAAAAATAATAATTTACATTGATGTGTACGTGTGTGTGTTTCTAAAATAGTGCAAACTGCAAAGACGTAAGTGCTGTGTACACTGTACTTGTGCGGTACTGTACATTATAACGGTTCTTAACCGTGTGAGCACAGGTGTGCTGTGTTATCAGACACTTGAAAACCATGAACACTGTAAAATGTACGTCAGACAGCGTACTGGTTAGGAGAATATTGTTTTTATCTGTTTCATTAATCACGTTGGATTGCAGTCGATAGAATATATTGAAATGTTTATCGGTCGTACATTTTTTTCTTTATTGGTAAATGGCAAGATCACGGTCCAACTAATATTAAATGTTTTTTTTTTTGGTCAGGAGGAAATCGCCGGACTTCCACCCTCCACTGGGGATGGAGGATGGGACATGTCGAAGTCGAACCGATTAAAAACCTCCTATCGCTCAACAACCCACGTCCGAACCTCGCATGAGACAGAACTCATGAAAAC